AGAGAAAAAAAAAAGAGAAAAGAAAAGGAAAGAAGAAAGAGCGAGCCTAGGCCTGGTGGCTCATGCCTGTAATCCCAGCTCTTTGGGAGGCTAAGATGGGTGGATCACTTGAAGCCAGGAGTTTGAGGCCAGTCTGGCTAACAAGGTGAAACCCCGTCTCTACTAAAAATACAAAAATTAGCCGGGTATGGTGGTGCACACCTGTAATTCCAGTTTCTTGGAAGGCTGAAGCACAAGAATCACTTGAACCCAGGAGGTTGAGGCTGCAGTGAGCCAAGATTGTGCTACTGCACTCCTGCCTGGGCAACAGAGCAAGACCCTGTGTCAAAAAAAAAAAAAAAAAAATGCAGGAAGGCTGTTTCTTCCTCAGTTGCTGTTCAAAAGGTCAGGCCAACTCACAGGTCAGTGCATCTCAACTATGCTGTCACCACACACGGGTCCATCAGACAAACGTTCCCTGTGGGTCCAGACTCTTTTAGAGCCACCCTCATCTCTCCTCCCTCCCTAACTCGGGCTTTCGGGTCAAAACCCACTCCAAACTAGACCCATGGCCAAAGTGTGGAATTTTTATCAAGGCCATTTTTCAACTTAGGCTACCTTCGCGCCCTCTCCCAGTCTTCTTTCCCTGACAAATCTCAGGGGCTCTCCTGTATTTTATATACTTGTTTGGCTGGTGGTGGAGTGGTGGCAGGTGTCCTGGGCTTTTCCCACATTTTCCCACCCCACCAGAGGCTTCGCCAACTCCTCATTATGTGGCTGTCACCCCCTCTCCTAAGGTGACTCAAGACAGGTGTCTACCCAAGAACAAGGGAATGTGATAGCCACATTTCGATTCTCCGTGAAGCCAGGGGACCTCCCTAAGGGTCCGACCGTGCCTGCTCCAGTCACCTTCCCCAGCACAGCCCAGTCGGACCAACTACGTCTCTGGGTACTAGAAGACCCCACTCCCTCCAAGGCTTCAGCGCCCCGCCTCCTCTGCAGTTCCACCTGCTGCTAGTCCCGCCCTCCACGCGTTACGATAGGTCACACCTCAAAGTCCGCTCTCCCATTGGGCATATGACCCGTCCGTCCTAGCCACGTCTCCCGGTTCTGGCAAAGGAGGCTCGGGCGGCGGCCCTTGGCCCTGGAGAAATCTGGGAGCTGGGTGGAGCGGGAGGGCTCTACCTGGAAGGGGTTTACATCCACTGGGTCCGCGAAGGGGTTGGTGTCGAAAAGCGACATGGCGATCGGGGGCCAGCGAGTAAGCTCCTAGAACGCTGCTGCCTCCGGGCACCCAGACCCAGCGGCGCTTCGTGTTGACCCTCCACTTCCGGGATCGAGGCAGCAGTTCTGGCGTTGGCCTGGCGCCCTCCCCCGGGGGCGTGACTCTGTGACGTCACCGAGGTCCGCTCCGCCCCCCTGCCTGGGCCACAATAGGCGACGGTTGGGCATTCGGCTTCCGTCCACAACTTCGCTCTGCCGGGGTTTTGGGGGTCTCGGCCGAGGGTCTACGGAGCCAGAGGCGTGGCCGGAGTCCTTCCCAACTGCCTATCAGTCTGATACTTTACAATTTTATGTTTCTAAAGCAAACTCTGAAAAATGGGACAGTAAACAGCCCTTTCACTTCCCTGGAGAGCAAGTTTGGAAAGAAGTCCAAGGGCCGAGGACAAAAGTGACAGGTGAGCTTTGGGAGAACTAGGAAAGCGTCTCCTCTGCAGAACGTGTTCCGGGAGAGAGAAATGCAAGGACCATCCAGCAGCCCTCCACCCGAGCTGAGCCTGCTTCTTTTAGGGCGGCTCGTCCTCTGATGTCGTTTCATCGTTTTAGGGATGACGGTTCCTGGGCGCATCAGCTTTGGGACCTGAGTTGGGACTTGAACCTGGGCATCAAGCATTTAGTAAGTGAATGAAGGAATTCAGCAACATAGCCTCCTCAATCATTGGGGAGGTAGCTGCTTCACTCTCCACAACTCCGTTTTGTTTTTTTGTTTTATTGCGACAGGGTCTCAGTGTCGCCCAGGCGGGAGGGCAGTGAGGCGATCATGGCTCACTGCAGCCTCGAGCTCCTGGGCTCAAGCGATCCTCCCACCTCAGCCTCCTGAGTAGCTGGGACTACAGCTGGTCGTCACCATACCAGCTAATTTATCGATTTTTTGCAGAGATGGGAGTCTCACTGTGTTGCCCAGGTTGGTCTCAAACTCCCCGGCTGAAGTTATCTCCCGCCTTGGCTTCCTAAAGTGCTAGAATTATACTCATGAGCCACTGCCTGGCCAAATCCACCTTATTTATTTGGATCTCTCTGGTATTATTCATCTCTGCTGTCATCGAATCCCATCCACTGTCATTTTCACCCTGGACTAATACAGTGCTGTTCATTGCTGTTAATCTATTGTTTTATTTATTTATTTTTTGCTTTAATCTATTGTTTTCATGTTGTAATCAAAGATCTGTTTAAAGGGAGCGAAATTATCACAAAACTTCGTTAAAATTTTTCAATTAATTTTCATTAATTGAAATTAATTGATGGTTAATTAACTTCAAGGGTTGGGTGTGTGGCTCATGCCTGTAATCCCAGCACTTTGGGAGGCAGAGGTGGGAGGATCACTTGAAGCCAGGAGTTCGAGACCACCCTGGGCAACATATCAGGACCCTGTTTCTAAAAAAAAAAAAAGAGGCCAGCCGTGGTGGCTCACGCCTGTAATCCCAGCACTTTGGGAGGCGGAGGCAGAGGGTATCACCTGAGGTCAGGAGTTCAAGATCAGCCTGGTGATCAACATGGTGAAACCTCATCTATATGAAAATACAAAAATAAGCCAGGCATGATGGCGGGTGCCTGTAATCCCAGCTACTCAGGAGGCTGAGGAAGGAGAATCACTTGAACCCTGGAGGCGGAGGTTGTCATGAGCCGAGATTGAGCCATTGCACTCCAGCCTGGATGACAGAGCAACAAGACTCCATCTCAAAAAAAAAAAAAAAAAAAAACTGGCCTGTGCCAGTACTCTCAGCCACTCAGGAGGCTGAGGAAGCAGGACTGTTTGATCTCAGTGAGCCATCATGGCACCGCTATACTCCAGCTGAGTGACAGAGTGAGGCCCTATCTTAGTTAAAAAAAAAAAAAAAAAAAAAAAATCAGGCCAGGCGCGGTGGCTCATGCCTGTAATCCCAGCACTTTGGGAGGCAGAAGCAGGTGGATCACCTGAGGTCAAGTGTTCAAGACCAGCCTGGCCAACGTGGTGAAACCCCGTCTCTACTAAAAATACAAAATGAGCCAAGTGTGGTGGTGCACACCTGTAATCCCAGCTACTTGGAAGGCTGAGGCAGGAGAATCACTTGAACCTGGGCTGGGGGGAGGGCTGCAGTGAGCTGAGATCATACCACTGCACTCCAGCCTGAGCAAAAAGAGTGAAACTCTGTCTCAAAAAAAAAAAGTCCATAAAGGCCCAAATTCTTTTTTTTTTTTTTTTTTTTTTTTAAGAGATGGGGTTTCACCTTGTTGGCCAGGCTGGTCTTGAACTCTTGACCTCAGGTGATCTCAGGTGACCCACCGTCCTTGACCTTCCAAAGTGCTGGGATTACAGGTGTGAGCCACCGCACCCAGCCCCAAATGCTTAGTTTATCTTCAAGGTCCTAAAGGATCTGCCCCTACCTTTCTCTCCTTCTAACCCCTTCTGGTGCCCAACCCCCAGCATTCCAGCCATGCTAGTGCTTTTCAGACCCACAAACTTTCCTTGTGCCCTCCTGTCTCAGGGCCTTTGCACATGTGTTCCCTCTACCTGGTATGCATTTAACCCATGCCCCACTATCATCCTCCAGTTAACCTCTCCTTACCCTTCAGATGCAAGTTCAGATGCCTTTCTTCAGGGGTAGCTTCCCTTCATTCTCGTTTACATCAGCACCTCACACCCAACATAAGCTCTCCTATCACCCTGTACTTTTCCTTCACAATACCTATTGCAGATTGTAATTAATACTTGTATAGGGCCGGGCGCGGTGGCTCAAGCCTGTAATCCCAGCACTTTGGGAGGCAGGTGGATCACAAGGTCAAGAGATGGAGACCATCCTGGTCAACATGGTGAAACCCCGTCTCTACTAAAAACTACAAAAAAATTAGCTGGGCATGGTGGCGCGTGCCTGTAATCCCAGCTACTCAGGAGGCTGAGGCAGGAGAATTGCCTGAACCCAGGAGGCGGAGGTTGCGGTGAGCCAAGATCGCGCCATTGCACTCCAGCCTGGGTAACAAGAGCGAAACTCCGTCTCAAAAAAAAAAAAAAAAAAAATACTTGTATAGGTGGTTCTTTATTCCTGTCTCTGTCTCCTCCACTAGACTGGAAGCTCCATGAGGGTAGGGCTGAGGTCTGTTTTGCTCACTGTTGTATTTCTGTCACTAACATAGTATAAAGCACATGATACACATTTATTTTTTGTGTGGGTTTTTGTTTATTTGTTTTTTCTGAGACAAAGTCTCACTCTTTCACCCAGGCTGGAGTGCAGTGACAGGATCTCAGCTCACTACAGCCTCTGCCTCCTGGGTGCAGGCGATTCTCCTGCTTCAGCCTCCTGAGTAGCTGGGATTACAGGCATGTACCACCATGCCCAGCTAATTTTGTTTTGTTTTGTTTTGGTAATATTAGTAGAGACTGGGTTTCACCATGTTGGCCAGGCTGGTCTTGACCTCAAATGATCTGTCCACCTCGGCCTCTCAAAGTGCTGGGATTATAGGCATGACCCACTGCACCCAGCCCACATGCATGATACACATTTAGTGACTATTTTACTGTTTTCCTCATTCCCTCATCCATTTCTTTTATTTGTTGTTTGTGTGTTTACAGACAGGGTGTTGCTTTGTTGTATAAGCTGGTGTTGAACTCATGGCTTCAATTGATCCTCCCACTTTGGCTACACACCAGTGCACCTGGTCATCCATTTCTTTCACCTTCCTCTCTCCTATCTAAATCCTGACTACCCTTTAGGGTTCAGCTCAGCTTTACTTCAGGATATATCTGCACACAAGTAGGAGGATGTGGAATAATTCATTTTGTATCCCCTTAGAAATTGCCTGTCCCGCCTGGGTGTGGTGGTTCACACCTATAATCCCACCACTTTGGGAGGCCGAGGCAGGCAGGATCACCTGAGGTCGGGAGTTCAAGACCAGCCTGACCAACATGGAGAAAACCCATCTCTAAAAAAATAAAAAAAATTTAAAAAAAAACAAAATTCTCTACTAAAAAAAAAAAAACACAAAATTCTCTACTAAAAATACAACATTCACCAGATGTGGTGGTGCATGCCTGTAATCCTAGCTACTCCGGAGGCTAAGGCAGAGAATTGCTTGAACCTGGGAGGTGGAGGTTGCAGTAAACCAAGATCACGCCACTGCACTCCAGCCTGGGCTACAGAGCAAGACTCTGTCATAAATAAATACATACATACATACATACATACTCTGATGCCCGAATGCTCAGGAAGACTGATTTGAGTAATAAAACTATCTTCTGCACAGCTGGCTTTGCATGAATTTACTCTTTCTCCATTGCAATTTCCCTGTCTTGATAAACTGGCTCTGCCTAGGTAGCAGGCAAGGGGAAACTGTTGGGCAGTTACAGTCTCACAGGGTTGTTTTGAGAATTGACGAAAAAAGCAGTGTCTTTTTCTCCCTCACAACTACAGACTCGCTCAACAGTCATTCACCACAATACTTCTGACACCTGATGTGTGGGGTTGTCTCTCCACACATCAAGCAATTCTGTAGCAGACCCTAACTGGGTTTCCTTCAATTTAATTTAATTCTGACACTTTCTACCTGGAGATAGCGTCAGATTGTAACTGCAGTAAGTTCATTACCAGAGGAAATCAGCGTGCTGAGGCACCGGGTTGCAGCAAAGAAAAAGGTTTGTTTAATCATAGGGTGACCTAATGAGGGCATGGGAGAAAACCCTAAATCTGTCTCCCCAAGGAGTTTAGGGTTAGGGATTATTATTATTTTTTTTAACTTTTGAAATCATGAGTTTCAGTTTATTATTTTTAATATATTTCTGAAAATATACAATATCAAGACTGTCTGATAATGATTTTTTAATACTTTCCAGTTCTGCCAACATTCCTGTTATGCATCCTTGGTAACAATGCTATCCCTGAACTGGGACGGGGCTGGTAAGGTGGGGTCAGTGGGGGAGTATCTTCCCGAGCCAGTTAAAGTCACTGAGGAGGACCCATACCTCAATGTGAGTTGAGATTCAATTAGAAATTAGTCATGGAAGGACATGTCTACCACAGACATCTTTCCTCACATTTAAATTATTCAATTTCTTTCCTGCAGTCCTCCTTCTATCTTTAGTTCCATTTTCAATAACAATTCATCCTACAGACCCATTTATCTTGCTTCTTTTTTCTCCCTTTTGTCCTACCGGTATAATATAAGAGATTATACTTCAGTAAACTATCCTAATGTGGAGAGAAAAAAAAATCAAAATGTGATCAATGATA